CCTCCCTGACCAAGTTCCACCCTGAAGAACTGGCCCCACAACTCTTGTGCTCTATTGTGCCATCCGGGCCTCAGGTTTTGGTCCTCACCTCTATGTCTCACGTGTCTGCAGCGGGGTACTGCCCCAACCCGGGCATCCCCATTGGCACAAGGAAGGTGGGCAGCCAGTACCGCCTTGAAGACAGTGTCACCTACTACTGCAGCAGGGGACTCACCCTGCGTGGCTCCCAGAGGCGAACATGCCAGGAAGGGGGCTCTTGGAGCGGAACAGAGCCTTCTTGCCAAGGTGACTCTTGATCCATGCCCTCAGGTTCAGATCCTGCCCTTTCGTCCTCATGTCTATATACCAGAGCACTGTCTCCTCCCCGTAACACAGCCCAGCTCCTTCCTCACTTCTAAACCTGCCCATAGAAATTCCTCACTACTGAGCCCTTCTGGCTCCAGAACCCCACCATCTGCTCACTCTGGCCAATGTGTCTCTGACCCTCCCCTTTCCACCCTTCCTAACATTTGACCTTATTTCTGACCTCTCCCAGACTCCTTTATGTATGACACTCCTGCAGAGGTAGCGGAAGCCTTCCTGTCTTCCCTGACAGAGACCATAGAAGGAGTTGATGCTGAGGATGGGCACAGCCCAGGTTTGGAAGCAGAGAAGGGAGGGAGGCAGGGAACTGGGGGAGGATGAAGAGGCAGGAGAATCATGCATGCTGGAGCCTGAGTTTCTCTGGTGGCACCCAGGGGAACAAAAGAAGAGGAAGATTGTCCTGGACCCCTCGGGCTCCATGAACATCTATCTGGTGCTGGATGGATCAGACAGCATTGGGATCGGCAACTTCACAAGGGCCAAGAACTGTCTCAGAGACTTCATTGAGAAGGTGAAGCCCCCTCTACCCTGAATATGAACTCACTGCCCTGCCAGGACTAGTTTCCTGATATTCCCAGGCCTCTGAGCCACAGGGTGCCAGAAACCTCTGGTCCTATTCTGTCCTTCTTCCCTTTTACTTGAAGCAGTTTGTTGACCTTTAACCCAATCACCAAGCTGAACCTCAGGATGACCAATCAACCCTGAGTTTCTGATTATAATTTTCTCTGTCCCAGAGAAGCTGCTGACCTCTCCCAACCACAATATTCTTTCAATGCCATGACCCCTTGCTCCCCTAACCCACAGGTGGCAAGTTATGGGGTAAAGCCAAAATACGGTCTAGTGACATATGCCACAGTCCCCAAAGTTTGGGTCAAAGTGAGAGATGAAAACAGCAGCGATGCAGACTGGGTCACAAGGACACTCAACAAAATCAGCTATGAAGGTCAGAGGTCAGGGAAGGGAGTGGTTGGGGGTGGTTTACTCTGGAGTCAGGTCAAAAGATTCAGGGTTGTTGTGGGGAAGGAGTGGTAAGACCACATTGGAAGGCAGGGCAAACTACTTTGTACTATGGTCAGAGAGCAGGCAGGCTCATCATTGGGGACCTGTTGGGGGCGGAAGTCACTTTGTGGCCAAAGGGAAGTCAGTGGTGTGACAATTCAAAAAGCTGAAAGATGTGGGATTTCAGTTGTTGATAGGCCTCTAGGGTTCACAGATGACTTAGAAGACCAGGCAAGGTGATCTCTTCCCTCTCCACAGATCACAAGCTTAAGGGAGGGACTAACACCAAGAAGGCCCTCCAGGAAGTATACAACATGATGAGCTGGCCAGCAAACAGGGCCCTTGAAAGCTGGAACCGCACCCGGCATGTCATCATCCTCATGACTGATGGTCAGAAGGGACCCCTCTCCTGCCCTGGACTCCCGACCCTTTCGTACCAGCGTGTGGCCATTTGGTCTACATGTAATGCTAGACTTGTGGTTGGGGCCCTGAGTGCTGCTCGGGGCCCCAACCATGTTGATCTCTCCTGTGACCCTTTACAAGGAGGAACCCCTTCTTAGGCCTCTTTGTGATATGTCACTTCCATCCCCTCAACCTGCCTACCCAGCCATGTGTCACTACTTCCAGTTTTCTTTCCTTGACCCTCTTCTTTACTTGCCTCCCACCTTCATGGGCCATCTCTTCTACAGGTTTGCACAACATGGGTGGGGACCCAGTCTCTGTCATTCATGAGATCCGGGACTTCCTGAACATTGGGAGGGATCGCAAAAACCCACGGGAGGATTATCTAGGTGAGTTTTACTGCCCAGGATCCAGTACCTTGCTTTCTCAGCTCCTGTCCCCAGGTCCTGGACACTCACCCTCCCTTATTCTCCCTCAGATGTCTATGTGTTTGGGGTTGGGCCTCTGGTGAACCAAGAGAACATCAATGCTTTGGCTTCCAAGAAGGATAAAGAACGACACGTATTCAGAGTCAAGGACATGGAAAACCTGGAAGATGTTTTCATCCAAATGCTTGGTAGGAAGATATCAGGAGGGTGTAAAGAGGTCAGGAAACTCCCCAGGTCCTCCAAGGTCACTCATACTGCCCGGCCTCCTGAAGCCCTGGCAGTCTGGAAGGTCCTCACTGCTCCTTCTGTCATATTCTCGTCTCCTGGCACTATGCACTTCCTAATCTTAGAATCACAGAGCTCTGACTGACATCAGAGAGCTTCCTCAAGTCTGTTGTTTTACATGTGGGGAAAGAGGCCGAGAACAGCCTAGGGACAGCAAACTAGCTGGAGTTGGACCTAAAAGCTACCAGGTCTCCCACCTGTTAGTTCCAAGTCCTTTTCTCTCTACCACCATGGTTCCTTGCTCACAATGTAAGGAAACAAATGCCCTCATCTTCCCTTTCCTTATGGGCCTCTGCGCCTTATAAACGTGCAGATGCCCCTCCCCCAAAGGCTGCTGCCATCTGAAATGAAGCATCACAACTTTCAGTACATGTTCCTTTCTTTCTAGATGAGACCCGGACGCTGGGGCTCTGTGGGATGGTTTGGGAGCACAAGGCAGGCACTGATTACCACAAGCAACCGTGGCAGGCCAAGATCTCGGTCACCGTAAGCATAGCTTCCTGGTTGCGGAGACTCATGGGAGGTGAAGTCAGGGTGGAATGAGGGTAGGGGAAGGGCCAGATGTTCCTGTTAGATTGCGGGGTTTGTGGAAGTTGAGCTTTCCCCTCTGCCATTCTGTCCCCAGCGCCCTTTGAAAGGACATGAGAGCTGCATGGGGGCCGTGGTGTCTGAGTACTTCGTGCTGACGGCGGCACACTGTTTCACAGTGGATGATGAGGCACACTCGATCAAGGTCAGCGTGGGTAAGGATGCAGCGAGCCCTCTATCCTCACAGTAGCTTCCTCCTGGCACACTGGACAACTTGGGGGTGGGGCAGAGTTGAGTTAGGTGGACATGGGATGCCCTGACATACTCATTCTCCTACCTTAGGAGGGAGGAGGCAGGATTTGGACATAGAGGAAGTCCTATTTCATCCTGACTATAACATCAACGGGAAAAAAGAAAAAGGCATTAATGAATTTTATGACTATGATGTGGCCCTTATCAGGCTCCGGGAGAAGCTGACATATGACCAGACTGTCAGGTGAGTACTCTGGAATCCTGAGTAGAAAAGTTCAGGCATGGGGGTGCTGCAGGCCTAGGCCAAGTCCAATGTGTTGTCCCTGAGTTTCCCCATCTCTCTTTAACAGGCCCATCTGTATCCCTTGCACCCAGAGAACAAATCAAGCTCTGAGGCTTCCACTGTCAACCACTTGCCGGCAACAGAGTAAGACATTCAGGGAGAGTAGCACAAGGGAGTGGTTCCAAGTGACAAGTGGGGCATGGTGGGGAGCTGCGGGAGCAGATGATGGCTAGCCTGGTCCCTAGCTCAGAGGAAAGGGCTGAAGAACATTTGCTGAGTGACAAAGGCAATAGGGAGAGAATAGGGAGGAGGAAGAGTGAAAATGACCCAGTCTGTCTATCTGTCCAGTGCAAGAGCTGCTCCCCGCAAAGGATATCAAAGCTATGTTTGTGTCAGAGTTACTCAAAGATAGCAAGAAGATGCTGGTTCGGAAGGAGGTCTACATCAAGAATGGGGACAAGGTGAGGATGGGATTCTAAGCAGGTCCTCTAGGCTCCCTTTCTTCCTGAGCATGCTCTATCCATCACCGCTTTCTCCTCACCTATAGAAAGCCAGCTGTGAGAGAGATGCTCGATTCGCCCCAGGCTACGAAAAAGTCAAAGACATCTCTGAGGTGGTCACCCCCAGGTTCCTTTGCACTGGAGGGGTGGATCCCTATGCTGACCCCAATACTTGCAAAGGTAAGAGAAGGCTCTTCAGTCGTGCTACATGTTCCTGAAGCCCAAGAACCACTTTCCCTACAGCTTTTCTTCCCCTGTAGGTGATTCTGGCGGTCCCCTGATTATTCACAAGAGGAACCGCTTCATTCAAGTGAGTTTCCCCTCTCCTATCTGTAGGGAGGTGCCAAGTGGTCAGCATGGGCCCTAAAGCAGGAAAGCTCCAGAGGTGTGGCTGGAAAGAGGAGGGCAGAGCCTGCCTCCTACAACTATACCTTGAAATGGCCGGCTAAGGCCCTGTGTCCGGCCTGTGTGCTGGAGAGACCAGGACTGAGCTGGGTCCCTAGTCTAATTCTTCTAGGTCAACTCAGATGCAACTGGGAATAGCTGAGCTTCCTGGGATCAGGAAGGAATTCTACCAAACGATCTGTGGCATCCCCTTGCCCTCTCCAGGTTGGCGTGATCAGCTGGGGCGTTGTGGATGTTTGTAAAGACCAGAAGCGGTGGCAGGAGGTGCCGACGCATGCCCGAGACTTTCACATCAACCTCTTCCAAGTGCTGCCCTGGCTCAAGGACAAACTCAAAGATGAGGATTTGGATTTTCTGTGAGGGCTTTCCTGCTGGAAAGGAGTAGGAGATCAAATTAAAACAGATGCGACAATACCTGTGTTCAAGATCCTTTTGGGGGAAGGGAGAGGGGAACGTGCACTGGCCATGTGTTACAACTGAGATAAAATCTAACAGCCGTTTTTAAAGGCTCAAGCCCCATCCCAAGTGCTGAAAAACCAGAGGCTGAGGAAGATGTGTGAGCTTCCACCTCAGTGTTTTACTGAGACCAGTGCTGACGCAGATGAGGCACACAGAATCCAGCTCCACTCCCTAGAAGCCATCCACAAGGTTTTCCTTGTAGACATCATCGCTGTAGACAATCTGGGTCCTCTTGTCCCGGTGGCAACCCTTAGGGCTGTTCTGGACAGCTAGGGAAGGAGGAAAGGATGGGTTAAGGTCTGTAGCACTACATCTGAGCACTACTGAGGCCACAACTCAAGAGTCTGACCAGCTCCCTCCTGGCCGCTGGCCCTTGGAAGCCTAATTTCAATGCTGCCCTCTGGTGGCCAGGATGGCCTGGCTCCCTTTAGCCTCCTCAGGAGCTACCAACCCATCCTGGTGGCAAGGAGTGTATCCTGCTACTGTGGCCCATGCAGATACCTTAAGTTCTTAGACCATCCCAGATGTTATTACTGAGACAAATGAATGATGTTAAGCCATTAGAAAATCTCCGTAGGCCTTTGTTGACATGCTAGTTTTCTTGTTCCCTCCTTTCGTCTGGAGGACCACTCTTGCTCTGAACACCCCTTTCTGCCTACTCCTGTGCTAGAAAAGCCAACAGGTACAGTGGGCTATTTGCACTAAACTAAGAAATGCTACTGGCCCCAATGGGAGAACCATTCTGGGTGTGGCTTTGACCCAAAGCATTCTTCCTCCAGCCTCAAGCTGTTCCCTCCCTTTCTTTTTCCTCTCTATGCAGACGTGTCCCTCTCTTCACCCCTTCTCCAAGGATTCTATTCCTGCCCTTCTGGGGCTAGACTGACTCACCCCAAACCAGCCTCCATTCTCTCGGATCTTTGCACCCTGACACTGCTGATCACACCCCTTCTCCCAAAGGTTGTGTCCTTTGGCTTTAATGGCTGCTCCCTGAATATTCCCCATGCCCAGGACTGGTAATTCTTCTGTATACTTACACTTCCATTTTGCAGCCACTCTGTGATACAGAGAACTCTAATCCGTATTTTCATGCCTCACTTAACACCCAAGTTAAGTTCCAGATCTCTAATTTCAAATGCTTATTTTATAAAACCAACTACTCTCCATCTCAAAATGAACAAAGCCATGTGACATGCTCATCTTCTGCACCAACCTCCCTTACTTCTACTTTCTTCCCTGTTCCAGTGACTGCTTCGGGAGTTGTCTCAAACTTTTTCTTTCTGTCTACTCCTACCTCTAACTGACAGAAGGCCTGACAATTCTCATTCCCATTCCCACAGCCTCCACATAGATCCAGGCCTCTATCACCTCCATGGGATCCTGGGACATTCAGGGGAACAAACAGAAGGGGTGACCTGTGGGGAACATGATGAAGGAGGAAGAATCTGTTCTTACCGAGGGAGCCCCAGACAGACTTGCCAGTGGCAGCGTCCAGCATGGGCTGTTTGCGGGCAATGCTGACTTTGAGCTGTACGGACTCCACCTGGGTCCCATTGAGCTGGGGCAGAAGAGGGGAGGAGGCAAAGGATGGGGGGAAACATTGCAGACAAAGCAAAGGAGGAATTCCAACAGCTGTCACCCTAGAAACAGACTGAGTGAGGATCTGAGAATACAACGTTTCTTGTGTGACTAGGAAGAGACTTTATCTGTCAATAGGAAATGATCTCCTCCTGGCTCTCAGTATTTTAAAGATAAAACATGAGGAAGTCCCAACCTCAGCGACGGCCTGATCTGCTGACTCCATCTTTTCATAGGTGACGAAGGCACAGCTGGGATGAGAAAAAAAAGGGTCAGTAGAGGGCCTATGGGCTCTTGTGGACCCAACCAAACCCAGTCCTCACAGGCCGCTGGAGATAGGCCGGTGTTCTCAATCAAACCCAGGTGCTCCCAGGACTTATCAACCTCCCCCACTGTCATCCTTACTTTCTGGGTGGGTCCATGGAGAGGTCAATGATGTTTCCAAAGGGAGCGAAGGCCCCACGGAGGAGGGTGGGCGTCATGTCCTCCCCATATACATAGAGAGTATTCCCCTTCCGAGGAGCCCTGCGTTCAGGAAACGAATCCGACCCTGCAGGATCAGGAGTCACAGTCACAAGATGCAACCCATCTCAGCCTCTGCTTTAAGAGGCCACTGTAGTAGGACCCGCCTAAACCCTTTCACTTTTCCCACCAGCCCAGATCACTCACTGCGGAAAGGGCCCTCTCGTTCTCGATCACGGTCCCTGTCCCGATCGCGGTCCCTTTCCCGATCGCGGTCCCTGTCCCGATCACGGTCCCTGTCCCGATCACGGTCTCGATCCCGTTCCCGATCACGGTCTCGATCCCGTTCCCGATCTCGGTCTCTGTCCCGGTTCCGCTCACGACTGTGGTCCCGGCTGCGGCTTCGGGGAGGAGAGGCTGAGGAGCGGGCACCACTACGTTCTTCAAAGCCCCAGTCAAAGCTTCGAGGGGGACCATCACCAGCCCCTGGGCCCTCTGCCTCTTCCCCATCTGGCCCCAGTTCCCGAAGCCGATCACTGGAAGACACAAAACTGGGGAGACACAGACAGTGAGGATCAAAGGGGGTCTTTACCTCAACTTCCCAGACCCTGTGGAGATGTAACACCCCCTCTGCAGTCACAGTTCCTTCCACCCCAGCCCGAAACCTCCCAAGGATCCAGGCAATCAACCCTCTCCCACTCCTCCAATTGGAACCCAGTTGTCTCTCTAGCTCTCTAACCTCTCATACAGAGATTTCCTCTGGGGGCGTCTGGATGACTGCAAAAAAAAAACCAAGGACAGTTAAGATGAGTCCTAGTTGCTGGCATGTGACCCCAAATATGTGGGTCTCTCATCTTCCTCATTCCCTAGGCCCCCTGGGACAGAGCACCGGGAACCATACCTCCTGCAGATCGTCATCGGCAGATATGCTCCTTTGGAACGGCTGGAAAGTGGGGACTGGCCCCTTCTCAGGATCCTGGGAAGGTTGTAGAGATCTACTTCAGTGTGAGAGCAGGAGGCAGCCTAACTGTGTGACAGAGGGGTTCCTCTTCCCTCACCCTCTTCTTGGTTTCCTCTATCCTCTTTCTTCTCTTTTAATTCCTTTGTGCATTTCTTATTTGATTATGTATTTTTCATGAACGACCTAATATATACTTAAGAGTATGTAGCTAATCTGAATGTTTCTTGAACCTACTGACATCTTTGACCTGTTCAACTCCTCAGAATGACAAAACTCAGAAGCTTGAATATGTGATAAATTAAAGCCACAGAACGTGTAATTTGGAAAACGGAAAAGTCAGCCAGTGTCTTCACTACAGATAAGAAATCTGAAGTTCAGACCTGTATGACAACTTATCCATGACTAAATTGACATTATTTTCCCCCATTTTACCTCCATTCCAATTTGGAAACATGCCCTCTGAAGTCAAGGGTCCCCTGAACAATCATTCTGCTTGTGCTCACCTTTAACTTCCCCTCTAGGGTTCGAGAACGTTTGAAGCCCGAGTTCTTGGTCTCGGCTTTGATGGCACTGATGGCTCCTGACTTCACCAGCTGCTTTGCCTGCTCTGTTGCTGTGGCTGTGTCCACCACAGGCTGCTCTGACAGTGCTGGAGTGGTGAGGGAAGGAGGCATTATTTTGGCCAAGCCGTGGGAGATGTCTGCCCCATGGTGCCCACTTCCAGTCTATCCCCATTTCCCCTGTCACTCACAGCGTTTCACACCGCCTTGGCTGGCTGTGCTGCTACTACTTTGCTTCTTCAGAGCCAGCAATGCCTTTTTCTGGGAACAAGAGTGAGAAGAAAGGGACTGGTGAGGGCCAGTCCCTGTCCTAGTCCGCTCCCAAGGTCCCTGGGCACCTCACTCCAGGGGACACCTTTCTCAGGAAACAGTATAAATGGTGTCCCTGGAGTGGTATGCTGAGGAAGCCCTGCCTCTCACACATGGTCCACTGGATCATCTACAAAACCAGCAATACTTAATCTACCAAACCAGGGTATCCAAAGGCTTTCCAGAGTCTCAGGGTTTTGAAGTTGAAGACAAGGATTTCAGCCATGGACCAGAGCCCCAAGATACAAGCTGCAAGTAAGTATACGCCTACGTGCCTTTCTCAGGGGCTGCATCCATCCATCCCCTGTATGTTTAACAAGAACCCGCCATAACTTTGTAACAGAGGGATGCAAAAGTATGAGACATGGTTTCTCCCCTCCAGAAGCTTACAGCCTGAGAAAGAAGATGATTAGAGACAATGATCAAGAATGATTATAAGAGATGCAGACTGCTTGTAGCTGAAACCAAGTAAGGTTATCTGACACCAAATGGCTATTAAACTGGTCCCTGGGTACAATCTACACAAAACAGATGGAAAGAAAAGGGATGCAAAGAAGACAGAATGGCAAAGATGCACAAATAAGAAGGCTTTGGGAATGCACGTTTTGGGACTAGTGAATAGTTCTATTTGACAAGAAAGGGATGCCAAGGTAAGGCTTTGGTTTATAGACAATGGAAAACCACTTACGGGTTTTGAGAAAAAAAGAGGCAGAGTTTTCTGTTTTCAGTAGTTCATTTGAATAAGAATGAAGGAAATCTGTTAAAAAAAACACTGAGAAACTTCTTGAGAAACCATTCAGCAGTCTACATGAGTGTCAGCAAAAACTTGATCTATGAAATACACAGGAAAAAATAAACTAAAAAAATTACTTCAAAGGAAGAATCAAGAAGACTTGGCAAATATTTGACTATGCAAAAAGTGGATAAGTCAGAGATGAGATTTTGATTCCAAACACCTGGGAGAACTGACTGTAGTCACTCCTATTTGGAAGATCAAGAAAAGGAACTAAATTAGAGTAGATAGGAAGATGACAGCTGCAACACTGGGTACCTGGGGGCTATCAATAACAGACTGGGTAGAAGTGAAAAAATAAACCTGGAGACTACCACCCGTTCAGTGGTACTAAAAGCCACGGAAAAGGAAGACAGCTGCATGGCAGAATGCACAGAAGAGAAGGTACACACCAAGACTTGGGAAAACGCCCAATTATGAGGCTACACTGAGAGGAGATATGTCTCCAGGTATGAGCTGGAAGAACCGCCCCCCCCATCCCCTCACACTCACCCCAGGTGTTCTCAAGAGTGTAGAGTCTGTGAAAGGTTGGGCCACGCCCCCACACACTCCCTCACCTTTTTCTTGAGTTTGTTGAATTTCTTCTGCAGAGCCTCCTCCTCCTCGCTCAGTCCGGGGGGTATCACCAACATGGTGGCTCCTGGTTCAAGGGCAGGGCCCAAGACATCTTTCTCCACTGTCACCGCCCAGGGTTCACACGCCGTCCACAAAGTACCCAACCGCACCCCTCCAGGCCTACCTACTCCTGTCTTTTGCCTCTCCCTACCCCTTGCTTAAACCAGGCTGCTGTCCAAGCCCCCGCTCGTCGGGATCAATCAGCATTCCCTCTTCTCTCCAGCAATCACTGCCACCAGCGCTGAGGAACCAAGTGGCCCAGGAAAGGGGAAGCACCCCTTCCGTCGCCAAGACGATGGCATCAGACACCCCCTACCCCCGCTGGGGGTATAGCAACCGCGGGGTCCAAACGGCACAGGAGGCAGTGGAACCCGCGCAGCGCTCTCAGAGCAACCAAAAGGGGAAGAAGAGAAGGAGCTCGGAATAAAGGGGCGAAGGGTGAGAAGGAGAAGACCTTACCTGAGGGGGCGGTAACCCGGGGGGGGGTGTCCCACGGTCTCGGGCGGCGCCCGCGCGGGTAGCGAAGAGCTGGCTCAGAGCGATGACGTAGAGAGGGGCGGAGAACGTGGTAACCAAGGCGGCCCAAGCCAGACACTTCCGCCCGGCCGTGCCCGCCCCTCCCGGCTCAGGTCAGCCTCTCTGTAACGCTCATCTCCGTCCTCCCCGGCTGTGTGTGACGGAAGTCGCCTCCATTTCCGCCCATTCTGGGGCGGGGCTCGCTCCACGGCTTCTCGCTGCACTTCCGGTCTGCCCCGCCGCGGCCCTGGCTCCAAGATGATGGAGACCGAGCGACTCGGTGAGGGGGAGGGGGTGGAACGAAGGAGTAGTCAGGGGTGACCCTTGACCTCTGACCTCTGACCTTCCCTCTGTAGTGCTACCTCCTCCAGATCCCCTGGATCTGCCCCTTCGGCCGGTGGAGCTGGGATGCACGGGGCGCTGGGAGCTGCTGAATGTGCCTGGGGCACCAGAGACCACCGTGAGTGAATGTTGACCCTAACATTGAGCTTCAAACCTTCTCAGTTCTTACTGTTGGACCTCATTCTTCTGTTTCTGGACTCCTGTCATCTGGGCCTGCCTTGTGCCGAATAGACCCCAGCCCAGTGGACCAGCTATGGGTCAGAACTCATGTGAAGACAGAGCAGGGAGTGCTGGGGATACCTGAGCTCTGAGAATTACACTTTCAAATGTGTCTTTTTTCTCTGGAGTCACCTTCTGTCTCCAAGCACCAAGGCACTGGTTGATGGCTAGCCTTTGAGGCCCTGATTCATCCTTAGTTCTGGGCCCCCTTTCCCTAAGAATAGTGATTCTCAAATTTAAGTGTACCTTGTAATTAGTGGTGGGGATTTTTAAAAATACAAATTCCTAAACCCAATCCCAGAGATTGTGAAATTATTGTATTTTGTGTTGTATTGTAATGTATCAGTAATTGTTGTTGCCGGTAAATCAGTAGCAGGTAGTTTACCCTGGAAGACAGGATGATCTTTGGAAGATATTGTTTCTGCTTGATTGTCCTATTTGGTCTGGAATGTCTGCTGCTTCTGATTTGAACACAAATTCCATCACTTTCTTTTTTTGTCTGTGTCTTATGCTCTATCTTTACCTAATGTCTCTCATCTTATCCTTTACCAGCTTCCCCACGGCCTCCCTCCGTGTGCCCCAGATCTGCAGCAGGAAGCAGAGCAGCTGTTTTTGTCATCTCCAGCCTGGTTGCCTCTGCATGGTGTGGAGCACTCCGCCCGGTGAGGAGTCTGGACTAGGGAGGTAGGCCCCTGAAGAAAACTGGCACAGGAAAGAAGGAACATCTGAAAATTATTTTCCTTTTCTGCAGAAAATGGCAGAGGAAAATGGATCCCTGGTCACTCTTGGCCACACAGGGGGCCCCAGTGCCCTCCGACCTTCAGGCCCAGAGACACCCAACCACCGGCCAGATTCTGGGCTACAAAGAGGTAAGAAGTCAGAGACCCCAAGAAGCAGAGTTGGGAAGGGATCAGAGGCAATCTCAGCCTCACTGGGGCTGTGGTCTTTTGCCTCAGGTCCTGTTGGAGAATACTAACCTATCGGCCACCACCTCCTTGTCTCTTCGCCGGCCCCCAGGGCCCATCTCCCAGTCCCTGTGGGGGAATCCAACACAGTACCCTTTCTGGCCAGGTGACTTTTATGGAAATGGAATGGTAGGGGAGAGTGCCCTCAGTCTTTAGGAAGGGTTCCCCACCCATCTTGTAACTACCACCTCCACACCCCATGAATCCCTATTTGTCCACCCTCTCCCTAGGTGGAATGGATGAGCCCACCATAACAGATCTGAGCACTCGGGAGGAGGCTGAGGAGGAGATAGACTTTGAGCAAGGTGAGGTGGTGCTGGCATGGACCCTTGGGAGTGGGGCTGTGAGTCTGGGCCCTGAAGAGGGGCCCCAGCCTATCATAGGGCTGCTCCTTGCCCTTCTGTGCCTTTGAGACAATTAGGAAGAGGTATCCTTGTCATAACAGTCTTTACTGTCACCTGTCAGAAAGTTGTCCTAAGTATCCCATTTGCAACGTCTGTGCTGTGAATGGCATCCTGTAGGTTTGAGTAACGTGTGACTTGTGTGACTCTGTGTAGTAGTGGTGATTCTGTCTGTCCTTGTCCTTCAGATCTTCTTACTGTTCCGCCTGGCTTCAAAAAAGGTGTGGACTTTACACTGAAGGGTGAGTTTTACCTTTGAGATAGGGCATAGAAGTGGTGCCCTTCTCCTGTAGAACAGAGATGGATGTGACCAGGTTTCCCTTTTTTCCTTGCTCTTCAGATCACCCAGCTCCAGCTTCTGGCTTGCTCAGCCTCAGCCGTTTGCTGGAGCCTTTGGATTTGGGTGGGGGAGACGAGGATGAAACTGAGTCAGTGGGACAGCCAGGAATTCCCAGAGCGGACACTGTGGCCGCCTCCCCCTGCAGTGCTTCCATGGCCCGAGCAAGCAGCTTGGAGGACCTAGTGTTGAAGGTTGGTGGTTCTGGGCAGTTGAGGCAGGAAAGAAGGGGCCTTACTGGGGGGCTGAGGGTGAGGTGGGGTGGCTGGGTTGGTTGGGTCTAAGAGGAAGACTGGAGCATCTTTTGGGAGGGGTGGTAATGGAGAGCTATTTGACTATATCTTTATCACTCCTATCAACGGCTTTTGCAGGAAACATCCACAGCTGTATCCCCTCCAGAGCCCCCTAAACCCCTGCCTCAGGAGCAGTGGGCGATTCCTGTGGATGTCACCTCCCCTGTTGGTGATTTCTACCGCCTCATTCCCCAGCCGGCCTTCCAGGTAGGCTGGCTGGTCCTCACATCCTCCCCTACCTCTTTCCCACTGTTCACTTCATTTCCTCTGCCAGCCCAGGCCAGATGCCTTCTAGGTCCTTCTTCGACCTCAGTCCTGGCCTTTCTTAACTCTGGCATGCCACTGCCACCTTGCACGCCCCAGGAGTAGGAGGCAGGAGGGCCCCTTTCCCTTCTCTAGCTGCCATCTGTTTCTCTCTCCCACAGTGGGCATTTGAGCCGGATGTGTTCCAGAAGCAGGCCATCCTGCACTTGGAGCGGCACGACTCTGTCTTCGTTGCAGCTCACACATCTGCGGGGAAGACGGTTGTGGCTGAATATGCCATTGCCCTTGCCCAGAAACACATGACTCGGTACAGGTCCCCTCCCCAGCCTCCCCTTTCACCAGCTGGTTCTGGCTTCTCCCACACCCTTTCTGCTTGTTATCTCTTCCCCGCCCTCCCTTCTCCTTGAGGTGAGAGGTTTGGGGAGAAACGGAGACAGGACTAGAGCGAAGCAGGAGGGTGTGGTGGGGAGAGCGGTTAGAAGACCCGCGTCAGGTTCGGAAGGGGTTGGGCTACAGAGTTTCTGTGGGGTTGCGTCGTGAAGGAGAATGTGAAGGCAGTTTGGGGAAGATCGGGGACATGTGGGCTCTGGCATGCCTCTGGGAGAGCTCAGGGTGGAAGAGGCGGTGCTGCCTAGGAGGCTGTGGGGGTGCTGACCGGCTGACTTCATGTCCTCTTCCCAGCACCATTTACACATCGCCCATCAAGGCCCTGAGCAACCAGAAGTTCCGAGACTTTCGAAACACATTCGGGGATGTGGGATTGCTCACTGGGGATGTGCAGCTGCACCCAGAGGCCTCCTGCCTCATTATGACAACTGAGATCCTTCGGTGAGAGATAGGCACTCAACACGGGTGGATTTTTGGTCAGGAAGGTGAGGCTGCTCCGGACAGCATGTTCACTGAGAACAGGGTGGAGTCAGGAGCCCCTGGGGAGTCAGCCTGTGGCCTCTTCTCCCCAGCTCCATGCTGTACAGCGGCTCAGATGTCATCCGGGACCTGGAGTGGGTCATCTTTGATGAGGTTCACTACATCAATGATGCTGAGGTAGGAGGCACGGGGGCCCCAGGCTCTAGTAGTCCTCTCCTTTGGGCCTAGATTACACACCGTTGTGGACCTTACTGCCTTCTTTGCCCCCCGAATGGAACCCTGTGTGTGTCCCTAGGGCAGAAGGGCAGCCCCCTCTGAGCTGCTGGTGAGTGGTGTTCTTTCTCTGTGCCTAGCGTGGGGTTGTGTGGGAGGAGGTGCTCATCATGCTCCCTGACCACGTCTCCATCATCCTTCTGAGTGCCACCGTCCCCAACGCCCTCGAGTTCGCCGACTGGATCGGGTGAGATGCGCGCCCTGGGAGGCTTGGGTGGATGGCACCATGGCCCTCCTTGGTTGGGGGAGAGCGTGAAGATGACCATAGCGAGGACAGTGGTCAGGTCTTGAGGGTGGAGAGAAGGAAGGGATGGGTTGGGCCATGTGTCCGACTCTAGTGGCTGCAGGACCCCACTTGGGTCCAGATCATTTTGTGCACTGGGAGAGGGGATGATGGGACAGCCTTCCAGTCTGGCTCCCAGAAAAGACTGGGTGAAGCCAGAGGGGAAATGTGGTGGGGACGTGCATCCCTTCCTGCACTCTCGCCCCTGACCTGCTCTCTTCTCCCCACTCAGGCGACTGAAACGTCGCCAGATATATGTGATCAGCACTGTTGCGCGCCCCGTTCCCCTGGAGCATTATCTCTTCACGGGGAACAGCCCCAAGACCCAGGGGGAGCTCTTTCTGTTGCTGGACTCTCGAGGCGCCTTCCACACAAAAGGGTAAGCTGGAGATGGGGCAGAGTCAGCACTGTGACCCCAGGTGTGACTGTGATCACCGACCCACCCCGTGTTCCAGGTACTATGCCGCTGTGGAGGCCAAGAAGGAGCGGATGAGCAAACACGCCCAGACCTTTGGGGCCAAGCAGCCCACGCATCAGGGGGGGCCCGCACAGGTGAGAACTGGCAGGCTTTGTACCTGCTACCACCTGTTTCAACTCTGTCCATTCTTCCTATGTTCTCCAGAGGTTTGGACTTGAGCTTTGAATACTGTCCAACTTGACATGGCTTCACCTCCCCTTGCTTTGGCCCTGACTAGTTCAGGGACTCAGCCTTCGCCCCTTTCTGCCCCCTTTTGCAGGACCGCGGTGTGTACCTATCCCTTCTGGCCTCCCTCCGCACCCGCGCACAG